AAAGTCCATTCCAACTTTCCCTTAAGGAATATAGAATTAGAAGACTAGGATCTCAAAAACTTCTTCTGAGAACTATTTTGTTTCTCACATTCTTTGCTCAGAAGTTTTGTGCCTCAGTGCGTTACTCCTTTTCTCCCTAATGACTAGTTTGTCAGCAGACTTCCAGGAGCTGAACCTTGTAATAGAGCCGGCCTTACACATTTCCAGAGGAAGCCAAGTTCAGACATTCATTTTTTTAAAGCAAGCACTGCGGCAGCCTCTGCCGCTGAACACCAGTGAACTTACTGGAAAGAGGGAGGCTTTCACTCAGACACATCAGAGTGAGTAAGACCCCCTTCCCCTGTGCGCTGGACTGGACAGTCAATGACGGGTAAGATCGGGGGCAGACTAAAGAAGGCACTGGCCAGCCTCATGTCTGTGACTCCTGACGACCTAAGACAGGCGCAGTCCCGGAGGGGCTTCATCATGATAAACTTTGGCGTTCAGATCAAACAAGGTCTACATGCCTATAAGCCTAATTTAGGCAACAAGCCCGCAGTAAATAACCCCTCCTTTGATGGAAACAAGGCTGCTAAGAACGTCACCTGCAAACAAGTCTGATGGAATTACCTACAAAGCAGTTTAACCATCAATCAGATAGTCATTGTTTCAGAATAAGTAGCAACCTAGCAACCTGTCTATAATCATACTACTTTTTCGCTTATTTTGCTTTTTCCTTATATGTGTACAATCAGTTTCAGGAAATGCATGATAAAGAAAATAGTGTGTGGCAATAGTAGTTTTATAATAATCACAATACTTCTCACATGAGACAACACCATAAAAATCAAAATGCTTACGTAGAATATATTGCTTGTGATCACTAAAAGTAGAAGGTGCCAGTAGGTAAATATCAATGTTTTTGATCATTGTGGTTTTGGGATACGAATCAAGAAAAGCTAGCTTAAAGAATGCTGTTCTGTGTAAACAAAACTGATTGTGTAGATTCAGTACTTTGAGATTTTTTGCTGTGCCATGCCATGGAACATCGATCACATGAACATGAATAACAAAGTAGATGTCTTATGCTGAGAAAGAATTAAATTGTATGTAATCATCTATTGTTAGAAAAGGTATAAAAGTCTATGATGATTTTGAGCACATTACATTCAGATCTTCACTCTTGAAGTGTGTCTGTCTGTCATTGATGTGTCTGTCTGTCATTTATGCGCCGATTCCTTGAGCATCCTCACAGTTTCTCAATCCTGAGACAGTCCTGCAAGTCTACCGCTGCGCTGGTCCGCGGCAAAGCACATTTTAGTAATTGTGTTTCATTTCCATTAGAACTGTGAAAGAGAATCAAAGCTGTACAGTACCATACTATAAATAAATATAGTAAGGCAATATTATATTCAGTGTCACATTTTAGTCAATAATACTGGGCAAAGGGTCTAAAAAACGGTCACTGTGTCAGACCACCTCTAATTGGTTCTGGGTGAGCTTACCCACCACCACAGATACAAGCAAAGGGGCCTTTGGTGCAGCAAGAGAAAAAAGATTATTTTAGCCAACAGGCATAGTGAGAGAGAGGAGGGGTGAGAGTTTCAGCCCATACAGGGTGCCGGTGGGGGTGTTCTGCAAAGGTTCCCCCACCCAGCGGGGTGGACATCTGCCTCCCATAGAAGCTACTATGAAAAAGAAAGAATCCACGTGCACTGCTTCCTTTAAGGATTCCCCCCAAAATGGCTACTCAGCACTACCTCCTTGCTCAGGACTCAAGCAACAGAGTATAATTCAGAACATCTTCCTGCTGAGGCATATTCCCGTGTGGCTAGGAAGGTTCCAGACAGAGGGGGTGGGAGCACGGACAGGCGCAGGCAGGTGCAGTTAGGAGTTCCACCACTCCAACATTATTGCAACAGGAAAGAGTCCAGCATGAACTGAATTCCACCTTCTTGAAACAGAAGACTGGGCCATTTTAAGAGGTTGGAGTGTACAGAGGGAAAGTTACTGAGGGTGTTAAGTATGTGTGGGAAACCCATGTGACTAGTTTTTCTGCGTTTGTTATTTGGAGCTTATCAGAGGAGAAACAAACTTCTAGCTTTGGGACTGGAGGAAGAAGTGCAAACTACAGAAAGCTGCCTGATGAAGTGAGGCCTTTATCCTCCTGCACTGACTGGGAGATGAATCCTTTCTCTTAATGTTTGCCTATAAGGAGACAGGTTATCAAGTCCTTGAGTAGACATTTCTGGGTGGTAGATTCACATTACAAAAGGCAGAGGGATTCTGAGGTCTATCTGCTTACCATCAGCTTTCGTCTGGGACAAACAGTAAATTCTCCTGGAAGTGTTTTTCCAGGCAGGCATCTTAAAGGAATTTGGGGGTCTTTTTTTTCTTTTTTTTTTTAAAGCAGAGGCAAGGCCTTAAACTGCTGACAGATTACAGTTTGGACAAGCCTCTCTTAGTGCAGAGGTTTGGATGGAGATTAAGTGCCAAGAGTCTTGCAGTTTTCAGAAGAGTAGTTTGGTTAATTTGATTTTGAACTGATCAACATTTTATCATGTCTGTGTCGATACCAGCCTACTGAAAACTGGATTACATACTTAAAAGTTAAATATTTGCTATATTAGAAGATGAATATAAAAGATGAAAGTCAGTTATAAATTTTTTGGACATCAGGATTTCCAATTTTCACTTTGGTCATCTTGTTAGAGGGCAGGGAGAGGGGCAGCCCAGATCCCGCAAACCTGCCTACTCTAAATGGGTTCTGACTGTTGTGCCCAACGTCGACCAGTGCAGCCCCCAAGGACACAGACAACCGATGCAAGGACACAAAGGAGTTTATTACAGGCTCGAGTACGGGCCCTCGACACGCACCGAAGCAACGGCAGAGGTCGAGAGCCCCGAACAGAGGAAGCAGGGGTATCTTATAGGGTCACGGGTGGCGCGAATTTTGAAAGAAGCTGGCAATTACTCATTGGCTACTACAAAGGCATTTTGGTGCACATGGTTATAGTTTCAAACTGATTGGACGGTTAGAGATGCTGTCCCATTCATGGATAGGACTTCCCTCATTGGCGGCTGGGGTGGTCTTTTTCGTCACCAAGTGGAGTGAGGGTTGTGACTGCTGAAACTATCTCCGGAATGCGGCTGGACAAGGACTAACATATCAAGGTGGAGGATATACAAAATGGCGAAACCTCGGCTAAGCTTGGTTCCACACTGACATCCACCGCATCAACACAAAACATATGAGACTTTAATGGGAAGGAACTTTAATACAATTAGGGAGCAATACAGGAAAGGCAAAGAATCTCGTTTCTAAATCAAGCACACAAAGTTACCTGAACCCTCTTGGGTAAAACTCCATCCAAATGGGATTGGCCCAGAGCAAGGTCCCAAAGCCTGCCACAAGTCTAAAGCGTCTTCCAGTGGGGACCCACAGAAAAGGATCAGAAACAATCAGACAAGTCTGGAAGGAAAAAAGCAAAACCAAAATCAAGACAAAAACCACCACTGTTACTTCCCCATGGTCTCTCACCCACATCTGTGTCAATCAGTCCACAACCAAAAGGCAAGCGCAGTTTCTTCCTGTGTTTCTCAGCTCCATGTGCCTCCTCCAGGGCTCCTTCTGGCTCTCCATCCTGCTTTCTTCCTTCCTCAGTCTCTGCAGCTTCTTCTCCTCCCTGCTCAGCTCCACCCTCCTTTTGGGTGGGACAGGAAACCTGTAACCTCCCCCTTTCCTGGGGACCACCGTTACTATCCCCCCCTTTTAATTTTTATTCCACCATATCTATGGTGGCACAGATCCCAGGGTGTAGTCTTAGCAGACAGTCTTTTTTTAGGGTTACAATATATGTAAGAAAAGCAGCAATTAGCAGTAGCATTGTCCATGAATGTCCAGTATGACAGTTTTCCATTAAATGGTGGCAAAAAGTGAAAGGGGGGAATTGTTAGAGGGAAAGGATGTCCTGAGCTAAATCCATACAGGATTTGTGGACTCCAATCCCCTACTCCAGACTGAAGCATCAAGACATTGGGAATGACAAATACCATCATCACCAAAGGGAGGGTTGTTGGGACCTGAGGGTGGTGTTAAACAGTCACTGTTTGGTATAAAATCAGACACCTGGGCTTTGCGGGTGCTCTCTTGGCTTCATGGCTCTTGGCTCTCCGCCAGCTCTCAGATTGCCATTGGGATTCCAGGTGGGTGGAACTGGTAGGAGCATTTAAGACTTTATCTCTCTCTTTTCCCCCTGAGTTGTACATTTCCTCATTTCCCTTCCCTTGTAAATAAACCTTTTATTAACCTTTCGTGTGTGCCTGCAGTTGAGTATTAAGTCCCTTATAAGCTTGCTTGCGGCTGAGGACCCACAGTCAGGCAACCCATTTTTATATCAGGGCTGTCCTGTAACACTTTGGCTAATTTCTGCTCCTGTAATTCATTATGCAGAGTGACGCCCACCCCACCCCCTTCCCGCCGCGTGACTATCCCCGGGCTTGCCAGGGTCACAGCCGGCAAAACCTCGTGAAATTGAGCAACCGAAGTGAACGACTTGCTAAAGAAGGTAGAGAAAAACCTCGGATTCGTGGGTTGCAAATCCCTTGTCTAGACTCCTTAGGCTTAGTTTTCCGTAACCACTAATTATTCAGATGAGACTAGGTCGCGCGTGGTTTACAACAGCTGCCTTTGCGCCTCCCTTCTCCCCCCAAAAGCAAAAACAACCAAAAATTCACAACAAATTTCTCTCCAGTCCCTTTTCTTTCTTTTCTCTTCTTCCCCGTTCGAATTTCGGTAACTCTTTTCTCTTTCTCAGAAATTCCTTCGCGCGGGGGCGCGGGGGCCGCGGGGGGCGCGGGGGCCGCGGGGGCGCGGGGGGCCGCGGGGGCGCGGGGGCCGCGGGGGCGCGGGGGCCGCGGGGGCGCGGGGGCCGCGGGGGCGGACAGGCTGGCGTTACGACGCCTGCGCGGCGGACGCCGTCTGCTTTGCGGCACGGCCATAAAGCGCTGCTGTTCGCCAGGCGGTTCCTGTGCCCGGCCTGCCGGCCGGCGCGCGCCACCCAGCTGGGCGTGTTGGCGACATCTGCTGCTCTGGTCGCCCTAAGCACCCAGGTGGAAGCCGGGGCTGTTGTTATGGGAAGGCGCCTCGTCAGGGTGTGTCTGAGTCAAGACAAAACTAACCCTCTTGGCAACGGAAGGGCGGTCCGCTCCTAGGGACCGCTGGGTGCGGGGCGCGCGGTTCCGGGGTGGGCGGAGGTTGCTGCCCAAGCCAAGCTTGACTTCGCCTCGTAGGGCGCCGATGTCCGGGCGCGGCCTGGGAAAGGCTTTAGCCGCGGTGTCGCTGTCTGTAGCCTTGGCGTCTGTGACTGTCAAGTCCTCGGACGGCCACAGCATCTCGGCGTGCAGGTACTTACTGCCCCCCCCCCCCCCCCCCCCCGGCCCCGGCCCCGGCCCCAGCCCCGGCCCTATCCCCCAGCTCAGGCGCCTTCCAGGTCCTTGGGGTGCGGCAGGGAGCTAGCTTCCGGTTTGGCTTATCCTCCCAGTGTTATAGGACAGCCCGGATACTGAACGGGTGGCCTGGCTGTGGGTCCTCACCCGCGCCCTTAAAAGGGACTTATTAATACTCCACTACAGGCACACACAAAAGGTTAATAATAGGTTTATTTACGAGGGAAAAGGAAATAAGGAAAATGTACAACTCAGGGAGAAAATAGGGAAATAAAGTCTTTAATGCGTCCTACCTGATCCGCAGACCTGGCCAGACGCTGCTAGCTGGTGGAGAGCCAAAATGGGGGACCCCCCCTCCAAAGCCCACGTGTCTGGCTTTATATCCACCTGGCTGCTTAACCCCACCCTCAGGTCCCAGCCACCTTCCCTTTGGTGGTGATGGGATTTGGCGTTCCCAGTGTCTTTGGCTTTGGCCTGGGGTGGGGGTGGAGTCTACGAAGCCTGTATGGAATTAGCTTTAGGACATCCTTTTCCCACTAGCACTAGGTCTATGCTACACGGGTTTCTGCTGCCTTTGAGGAAAACTAGTGGTAGTGACCTTTCTTAACCTCTCTTTCTGCAGTTTGCCTTTTTGCAGAAGTCACCAAGATTATTATCCCCAAAGAGTTTAAATGGAACTTGTTGGGGTGTGGTGATATCCCGTGCTGTTTTTTCATAGTTAATTCTTAAGACATTATTAAATTAATAAATTCACAGTTTAAAAATGTAAATAGTAAAATAAATGGTGTAAAGTACAAACGATAAATTGTTATTCCTCCCTCTACTCAAAGTAGATAATATCTTTTTCTTGATCTGTCAACTCAGAATAAATCAGGCAGTTATGGTATCTCGCAGCCTCCTTTTATTTTTGTCCCTCCTTTTATTGTTTGTTTAGTAATGCTAAGTATGCTAGGCCAGAGTAATGGCAAGTTTTATGAGGCTATCTCTGAGAGTGTGGTGTGTGTATTCATCTTGCTTGAATTGATTTAGCCCGAGGACATTCTATTCTTACGCTATCACACCCTCTTCTTGTCCTGTAGTGTTCTCTTTGTTCTGGAAATCTTGTGATAGTTGTTGGAACCTCATTTTCTTTTTCTTTAATTTTCCTTTTTTTTTTAAAATGCACCATGTGCTTAGAGATATTCCTCTACTTTGCTTTCCAGATGACTAATTCAGACTTTAATCCTGTGCATTCTGTTAGTCATATCTTCTGCTGGATTGTAAATTTTGACAAGAACGGTTTTCCACTAATTGCTTTAATAGCATTTTCTTAATTTATGGATACAAAAGTCCATTGAACATATTGATACCGGAATTGTCAGGCCTAGTCTCCCAGCCAGGAACGGATTCCAGGCTGCAGGGCAGTGCTGAGCCCCAGCCGCTAGACGCCCCCACGGGTTGGTGTCTCACGAAGCCACAGCAGGAACTTCGCAGACGCTCAGGCAAGCAAGCGAGAAGAGGCAGGTTCGTTTATAGAAAGAAAAAGTTTATTGAGGAGAAAAAGAGCAGAAATAAAGTGGGACTCCCAGGCCAGGGAACCAGGCCTGGGACGGGCAAGGAAGCCAAAGTGGAGTCGTGTCTCAGGGAATATATACTTTCTTTCCCTGATTATTCTAAAGCTCCACCAGTCTCTTTGTGATTGGTCAGTTCTCGGCTGTCTCACTTAATTTGCTACTGAGTGGGGGATCTTCACATTCCTTATCTAACAGGTTTGTCTTTCCCCATTTGTTACATCTTTATCTTTATGGCCTAGTCTTCCAGGAGAGCATCTCCACACCTTATCTTTATCACCTGAAGAAAACCAGGACCATCCTTAACAAGATTGTCTGTGGTTCTAGGATGTTTGTTTTTCCCCAGTGGAATTGGTTACATTTCCTTGGTTGTCCTTATCTCTGAAGCCTCCCTAAATTCTTCAGAGGTCCCCTCCTGCACTGTCCCTAAAACAGCCTAATTTCTAGCTTGCCCTGTGTCTCAATATAAAAATGACATTAGGATAGAAAAGCATCTTGTTTTTCTGAATTATCTGCTGTGGGCCATGGTTCTGTTATTATTTAATCTGATGGATATAGTTTATCTAATTATTTATTTTTTTAAACATTTATTTATTTATGCATAGGAGAGCTGGGGTGCAGGCCAGAGATGCAGGGCCTGAGAGGATTCACCAGAGACTGAGTGGGGAGCATTACAGGCAGATGTACTGAAGTATACTGCTGAGGGGAGCAGCTGGCAAGACTGGAGAGCTCTGCTGCGCCATGTGGTCACCTCCCTGGCAGGGTATTAAACTCGTGTTGCAGTTGTTACCGAACGCCGGCCTCAGTTTCCCTCAGCCAATAAAAGGAAACTAAGTTTGAGGAAAAGGAAAGCGGTTTTATTTGTCGACAAATGAGGAGGGCGGCAGACTCATGTCCGAAAAACCACCGTCCTGCTCTTTGGCAGTGGGCAGGGGTATTTATACAGGGGGAGATGGGTAGGCATCCGCGAAGGGGAGGGGGAAGGGGTCCGCCCAGAGACAAGTGGGCTCCAGCTCAACAGGGAGATGGATGGGGGTCAGCTCATTCATCTTAAGGGAAGGGGAAGGTGTCAAGGCACAGAGAGGGGTGATCGCCAACTTGTTTTCCTTAGGGCGAGGGGGAAGGGTCTACAGGGAAACCGGTGGGCGCCAGCTTTTTTTTCTTCCCAAGGGGAGGGGAAGCTGCAACAAATGGGAAAGACAAGTCATCAATCCTGTTAATGCTAGATAAGGGGAATTGCAAAAAATGGGGGAAAGATGAACTTGTTAACTGTATCATAATCCCCACTCTCAGTTATGACCTTCCATTTCTATGGGAAAAGGGGCGTCGTGTCATCTGGCTGCTTCCTGCTGAACAGGGTCGTCGTGGTGGGGGGTTTACGATGGAAGGCCTGCACTTACTGGTGCCATAGTTCCCGACATGATGTTAAGGTCTTGGTGCTGGTGTGGCAGCGACAAGATATACAACACAGCATAGTCCTAAATGTAAGAGGGATTACTTTTTCTCTTCCTCAAGATGATGACATTAAGGTTATAGCCCTCACTGGAGAGGACCAGAGAATAATATAGTTACGGAAACATAATTTTTCTCTACCCTCATCCCAATTCTGTAAAATAGTAAACCAAATCTAATTTTAACAATTTTCCCTATATTTGCATAAACTCATAGGGCAGAGTAAACAAGTAGAGTGTTGTTGGCTTTGTTGAAAATTCCACAGGCCTTAGCGTGAGCTTTTTAACATCCAGTCCATGCCGGCTTTATCAAAGTCACAGTCTCACCAATCTTCACCTGAGATTTCCTCTTCTCAAGGTTCCCAGGACTTTTTCCAGGGTTTTCCTCAGTCCTGTCCATGGAGGCAGCTTCCTCATTTTTCATGGAGGTCTCTGGAACCCAGTAAGCAAGGTGACAGGATCTTCTTGGCTCGCTCTTCTCAGCTCAGCACGGTTTATTCCCAGAAGAATTTCAATCAAAGCCTTTTAACAAAACATGTTTAATTTACCAGGTTAAGGAGAAATAAATAAAATTCCCTATTGAGATTATGCAAAGATAGACATTGTCCTGAGAAGTACAAATATTGCTTATAAATTTTTGGGATGAGACAAGAGAAAAGCAAATGCTTCAGTTTGTTCATAAAAGATGCAAATTGTCATTGTTAAGATCATAGCCCAGCTTAAAGACAAGGTTTCTGGAGACCCAAAAAACCAAAACATTAAAAACTAATTTTTTTTTAAAAAGTCATGAAATATTCAAATCTTCCTCAGTGTACTTTCCATATATTAAGTCTCCATCTTCTGTTGGTAATTTTCATAAATCAAATTTTTATAGGCTCAGTAGGTCTTTTCAGTTCCAAAACATATCTATATTGTCAGTCTCTTTTTGTGAGTTTTTTTTAAAGACAAAGCTCAGCAAATAAACTTTAGAAAGAACAAAAACTCGAAAATGACCATACCTAAAATCATGGCTTAAGGTAAAAGACAAGGATGTTTGCTCAGTTTTGTGACAAACATACACATATATATTTCAGTATAATCAGAACCATCCAATAATATTATACCAGAACATACTAGGTTTTAAAAATCACATATATTTTAGAACACTTTAATCAATTTTATATATGCTGAAAAGGTATAACTTTTTCCCTCAATGACAATTTTTATGAAGTTTTAACATTTCTAGATTGGTCCAATGTGTTTTAGCATTTTGCTATAAGGAAAATAATTTATTAAGAGTCCTAAGACGCATCAAATAATTTTACTTGATTCAAAAAAAAACTTTACCATTTCTTAAATTTGACTCCAAGAAAAGTTTCTTCACAGGCTTAATAATATATACAGATTTTTATAAAACAACACTAAGGTACCCAGAGTGATAACTAGAGGTTTTTAAAAGTAGATATATTTTCACAGTGCTCAACAATGCTGACAGGACTATATTTTTCAGTTTACCAAGTCCAAGGGTAAAAGAGAACCAAGATTTCAGATTACCTAAACAGTTTTTAATTTTTCATCAAGAACTAGTAAAAGCAGTTTAAGAATACTTGAGCCTTTACTGCAGATGGAAAAGAAATTAAATTTTGGTTTTACGTAAGTACACCACTGATAATAAATTTGAATATTCCTAAAGCAAGTCATTCTAGCACATAGCATTTTACTAAGATACCTCTCTCAGATCTGCAAAGCTTTAACACCTTTTTTTTTCAAGATAGCCATTTTGTTTTGACACTAAATTTTTCAGACCTTTAGCATATTTTTTTACATACATATCTTAACACAATCTCGCTTTATTTGCATTTAGAGTTACAACATTTTAGTTTTTAATTTTTAGATTGTAAGACTGTTATAGAAGACTTTTGTCTTTATTTATGCCCACAGGCCCAGAGATCTTTTTCCAAAGTTCAAGCCCCCAGCA